CTCGCGCGCGGTCCGCTGGGGATGCCTGCAGATTCTCTGGCGCCCTCGGGCCTCCTCCTCCTCGCTCCTCCTCCTCCTCCTCATCCTCCTCCGCCTCCTCCTCCTCCTCCTCACCCTTCTCCTCCTCGCTCCTCCTCCTCCTCCTCCTCCTCCTCCTCCTCCTCTCCTCCTCCTCCTCCTCCTCCTCCTCACCCTTCTCATCCTCCTCCTCCTCCTCCTCCTCGCTCCTCCTCCTCCTCCTCGTATTTTTAGTCTTATTTTTATCATTATTATTATTCTTAGTATTATTCTTATTACTATGTTTATTATTAGTATTATTATTATTAGTATTATTATTAGTATTATTGATATTATTATTATTAGTAGTATCAGTATTAGTATTAGCATTATTATTATTCTTATTATTATTAATATTACTCTTCTTCGTATTATTATTATTATTATTAGCATTATTACTAATATTATTACTAGTATTAGTATTCTTATTATTATCATTAGTAGTAGTATTATTATTGTTAGTATTAGTAGTATTAGTATTCGTATTAGTATTATGATTATTAATCATATTCTTATGTTTATGATTATTAGTATTCCTCTTCTTATTCGTATTATTAATATTAGCATTCTTCTTAGTATTATTATTAATCGTCTTATTCTTCTTGATATTATTAGTGTTCTTCTTATCATTCTCAATATTAGTATTATTATTAATATTAATCTTATTATTCCTGTTCTTATTATTAGTATTATGGTTAGTCTTCTTATTGTTCATACTAGTCTTATTATTAGTATTCTTATTCTTCTTATTTTCCTTCCTATTACTCCTATTGCTTCGTAGTCTTCTTATATTATTATTATTGTTCGTATTCTTCTTATTCGTATCATTATTCTTCTTATTCGTCGTAGTCTTCTTATTATTCGCATTCGTATTCTTATTATGAGTATCGTTCGTCTTCTTATTAGTACTATTTCCGTTTTGTTTTATCATTACCATTATTAATTTTACTCGTCTTATTCTTAGTATTATTAGTATTATGATTATTACGATTATTACCACGATTAGTACTAGCCTTATGATTGGTAGTATTAGTAGTGTTATTAGTATTGTTCTTATTCTTATTATTATTCTTATCGTTCTTATTCCCAACATCCTGAGTGGGGTTATTGTCCCCCACATCCTGAGTGGGGTTTTTGTTTTACCCGAACATCCTTTCCTTTTTCGTCCCGCCCGCCGCCTCCCATGGAGGGTATCGGAAACCAATACTATGTACATGGTTTCGTGCTTCTCCCACCCCTCCGGGGAGGCCCCGCCTGAGCTAGGAGGGTACCGGAAAACCATACTATTTACATGGTTCCGTGCCCCTCCCATCCCTCCAGGGAGGCCCCGCCTGAGCGAGGAGGGTAGCGGAAAACCATACTATTTACATGGTTTCGTGCCCTTTCCACCTCTCCAGGGAGGCCCCGCCTGAGCGAGGAGGGTATCGGAAACCCATTCTGTGTACATGGTTTCGTGCCCTTCCCGCCCCTCCAGGGAGGCCCCGCCTGAGCGAGGAGGGCATCGGAAACCCATGCAATTACATGGTTTCGTGCCCTCCCCCCATTCCAGCGGGGCCCCGCCAGAGCGAGGAGGGTCTCAAGAAACCGTACTAATTACACGGCTTCGTTTCCTGAGCGCCTGTCCTCCCTCCTCCTTTCTTTCGTCTGCCCTTTCGTGCGTACTCACTCGTTCGATGAGTTTCTCCTTCGTGTTGATGTTGTCGTACCCCATGGGTCCAACGAAACCGTTAATATCTTTATGTGGGGAACCCCGTTAACACAAATTTCCCAGAACGTCCTCTCCTTCTCCCTCCCGCCACCCGCCACCCACCCCTCCAGGGAGGCCCCGCTTGAGCGAGGAGGGTAGCGGAAAACCATACTATTTACATGGTTTCGTGCCCCTCCCACCCCTCCAGGGAGGCCCCGCCTGAGCGAGGAGGGTATCGGAAACCCATACTATTTACATCGTTTCGTGCCCCTTTCCCACCCTTCCAGGGAGGCCCCGCCTGAGCGAGGAGGGTATCGGAAAACCATACTATTTACAAAGCTTCGTGCCCCTCCCACCCCTCCAGGGGGACCCCGCCTGAGCGAGGAGGGTATCGGAAAACCATACTATTTACATGGTTTCGGGCCCTCCCCACCCCTCCGGGGGGGCCCCGCCTGAGCGAGGAGGGTATCGGACAACTATATTATTTATTTGGTTTCGTGCCTTTCCCACCCCTCCAGGGAGGCCCCGCCTGAGCGAGGAGTGTGTCGAAAAACCACACTATGTACATGGTTTCGTGCCCTTCCCACCTCCAGGGAGGCCCCGCCTGAGCGAGGAGGGTATCGGAAACCCATGTTATCTATAGGTTTCGTGCCCCTCCCACCCCTCCAGGGAAGCCCCGCCTGAGCGAGGACGGTATCGGGAACCCATACTATGTACATGGTTTCGCGCCCCCCCCCCCCCCCCACACCCACCCCACCCACCCCTCCAGGGGGGCCCCGCCTGAGCGAGGAGGGTATTTCAATTACTCCGACGGTAGGACCCCACATGGGAATATGTTTAGCTTACCCTTTGCCCTTTCCTCCTCCCCCTGGCGGACACCCTCTCCTCTCGCCCTGCACTGCCCTCTCTTCCTCATTCTATTCCTCTTCCTACTTTTCCTCCTCCTCCTCCCCCTCCTCCTCCTCCTCCTCCTCCTCCTCCTCCTCCTCCTCCTCCTCCTCTCCTCCTCTCCTCCTCCTCCTCCTCCTCCTCCTCCTCCTCCTCCTCCTCCTCCTCCTCCTCCTCCTCCTCTCCTCCTCCTCCTCCTCCCTCCTCCTCCTCCTCCTCCTCCTCCTCCTCCTCCTCCTCCTCCTCCTCCTCCTCCTCCTCCTCCTCCTCCTCCTCCTCCTCCTCCTCCTCCTCCTCCTCCTCCTCCTCCTCCTCCTCCTCCTCCTCCTCCTCCTCCTCCTCCTCCCTCCTCCTCCTCCTCCTCCTCCTCCTCCTCCTCTCCTCCTCCTCCTCCTCCTCCTCCTCCTCCTCCTCTCCTCCTCCTCCTCCTCCTCCCTCCTCCTCCTCCTCCTCCTCCTCCTCCTCCTCCTCCTCCTCCTCCTCCTCCTCCTCCTCCTCCTCCCCCTCCTCCTCCTCCTCCTCCTCCCCCTCCTCCTCCTCCTCTCCTCTCCTCCTCCTCCTCCTCCTCCTCCTCCTCCTCCTCCTCCTCCTCCTCATCCTCCTCCTCTCGCGCCACCTCCTCCTCGTCGTAGCCCTCCCCCATGCCCCTTCCCTCCTCATGCTCCTGCTTCTTTTCCATGTGCACCTCCCGCCCCCCCTCTGGTCGTGGCAAGCAACTCGATTTTCCTCGGCGCCGTCGCCGCGTCGGCCAGCACGCGCGCGTTTGCCGACGGCTAGATCGCGAAGCCGTCGGGACAACCCTTCGGGCCAGGCCGTTGGGGCAACCTCGCAGGCCGCAGGGGCGCGGGAGCCAGCCGTTGGGACAACCCCGCGGGCCTCTAGGTGCGCGCCGCGGCGCTCAGGCGGGCGGCAGCACGAAACCCAGCTCAGCCGCGAGCTGCTCCGCCTCAGCCCGATTCGGCTGACGATGGGTCACCACCGCCAGCCCGGAGACAAGGGGTTACCCCTGCCCCCGATTCGGCCGAGGATGGGTTACCACCCCCGTCCCGGACGCAAGGGTCCCCCCCTGCGCCCGATTCGGCTGACGATGGGTTACCACCGCCAGCCCGGACACAAGGGGTTACCCCTGCCCCCGATTCGGCCGAGGACGGGTTACCACCCCCGGCCCGGACGCAAGGGGCTACCCCTGCGCCCGATTCGGCCGCCGATGGGTTACCACCGGCGGCCCGGAGACAAGGGGTTACCCCTGCCCCCGATTCGGCCGAGGATGGGTTACCACCCCCGGCCCGGACGCAAGGGGCTACCCCTGCGCCCGGCCGCTGTCTCGTCGTTGTCATCGTCAGCTCCTCAGTCGCCCTCTCGGACGCCGCGGCCGTGGGGCGGCGGAGCCTCTCGGACCTCCACGCTGTTGCATGACTACAACAAGTTTGCCGACGACCAGCTCGGACGATGCTACCCGGATTTCTCAATCGCCCTTTCGGGCACGCAGGCCCATGACAACAACAATTTTGCCCGCGACCAGTTCAGACAGACGAGACCCCCGCTTGGTAACTCCCCAGTATTCAGGCCGCAGGAGCGAGTTCTAAAACCCGTCCTCATACCTCCAAGTGACGACAGGGGACGGTCCTCTGACGGGGCTACCCGCACCGCCCACAGACAAAGCTCCCCCTTGATATTTCCCCCGTGTTCAGGCCGCAGGAGCTGAGGAGCCCAAAAATCTCGCTCGGATGACCCGCTCGGGTTCGAACATGAAGCGCGCGCCCCATAGGGAGGGGGCTCCCGCCTAAGCCTTCCTCGCAATTCACTCACAGACGAGGCTCCCGCTCGAGACTTCCTTCATACTCAAGCCTCTAAAACCCAAAAGTGACGACAGTTACACGTCTCCGATGACCCGCTCGGATTAGTAACAGGACCGGCGGGCCCCATAACGAGGGCGTTCCAGCCTGAGACGTCCTCGCAATTCACTCAGAAACGACGTTCCCGCCTGATACTTCCTCCACATTCAGGCCTCGGGAGCCCAAAAGTGACGACAGCTACAAGGTTCCGATGACCCGTTCGGATTAATAACATGATCTGCGGGCCCCATAGGGAGGGGGCTCCCGTCTGAGACTTCCTCGCAATTCACTCACAAACAAGGCTCCCGCCTGATATTTCCTGCATATTCAAGCCTCGGAAGCCCAAAAGTGACGACAGATACAAGGTTCCGATGACCCGCTCAGATTGATAACTTGATCCGCGGGCCCCATAGGGAGGGAGCTCCCGCCTGAGACTCCTTCGCAATTCACTCAGAGGTTCCCGCCTGATGACGAGATGATGAGTGAACGAATGATGATGAGTGTGTGGTGAATGAGTGATGATGATGATAATG